AACACATTAATTTAGATTAATTTGTGGTTCCTGCATGAGAAAGTGTTTATATTTACACTGGCTGCCAGCTGAGATATTATGGTCTGGTTGTCTTTAATCGTTTTCAAATAGTAAATTAATTAAAAACTGTAACTTTTTCAGTTGTTTTTTGTACTAAAGAATGTTAAAATGTGGCTGTGACGGGAACCAGTGGACTGAACTAGCTAACTGTTATAAAGTAGTTCAAACTAGCTCCACCTGGAGCAGCTCCAACAATAAAATGCTGTTCTAACACTGATGCATCAGTATTAACAATCTAATAATGTCACATAGAATCAGAGACATTGTACTGCATTACATGTAGTTTTACTGCGTGGAGCTATACTGCTGTACTTTTCCTAAACAGGTCAGTTGAGCTTTATTAAAACACAGTGACAGAGATCAGGAGGATCAGAGGTTTAACAGAGGAATCTTTGTTTTTTGTCCACTGAAAGAAAAAGAAGAGATTTAGTTGTAGTAAAGTTGTACAATGTTATGAAAGTGACCTGAAAACTTGTTTTCACACCAACGTTGTTTTCAGGTTTAACAGGGTCAGTGTGGACGAGATCTTTCAAGGACAAACTTTATTGTCAATCTACTGTAACAAAAGCACATGGTGCTGATAACGTGGGTCTTTTTTACCTCACAGGTACTGTAGGTGTTCAGGAGTTCAAGTTAATTCAGAAAGTTACTGCAGCTCATAAACTCATAAATTTACAATTTTGACCCTGTTTACAAACAGGAAGTGGAACAGCTCGACCTCACTGTGCTCCGCTCCTGGTGTTCTATGTTTAATATAATAATGATGATTCATAATTGATTAATTAATTGGTTTGTGTGTCATTGTCAGTTTTTTGTACTTTATTCAAAATAAAATGTTCATAAAATTAGTAAATAATGTAAAAAAAATGAACATTACATAAAAAAATTCATTACATAGGAAATGTGAGACAATAAATTCTGTATGTTTTAACTCAGACACATAAAACACAACCTTCATTGCACTGTTCATTTATTATGCAGATAATACACAACTATAACTTTTCTGTCCATAAATGATCGATGAGCTCTATCAACACTACAATACAGTGTATTAAAGATATGTATTGGTGAATGAGCCATCATATTTTACAAAATAATGTCCAAACAGAAGTATTTCGCATCTTGATTCGTCTCTTAAAACAAAAGCTGAAATGAGAAACATCCATGCCGACTTAAGTTTAAATAAGAGGCTGCCAATCAGACTCGTACATGTTGTTATAACCTGTAAAATGGATTATTGTAATGTCCCGCTGTGGGACGGCTTTTACGTTTGTCCTCAGATCACTACAATGGCTTTCAGTACGCAGCAGACTCTTTTTGACTATAAAGCTTTGAATTATCCATCATATTTGTCATATGAGTCAAACCTCTCAGCTCCTCCGGTTCTAATATTCTAAATGAACTGAGAGTCCTAAAAATGTTGTCCTCTCTCTTCTTGTTCTCTCTCATTCTTTTAGTAATGTAAAGAGTTTGTTATTCTGGGTATTGATATATAAAAATATATAAATAAAATCTCCTCCTCCTCCTCCTCCCCTCCTCTCCTCTTCTTAGGTTGGTTATGCCTCATGGTCCATTGTGTTTTCTGTAACACCTACTACATCATGGTGCTGGCCTGGGGCTTCTACTACCTTATCAAGTCTTTCAACGCCACCCTCCCCTGGTCCACCTGTGACAACGAATGGAACACACCCAGCTGCATGGAGTTCTTCCACCACCAGGACTGCAACAACGGCAGCCTCGCCAACACTACCATTAGCGGCAACATGACCTGTGCTGATCTGGCAAACGCACGATCACCCATCATCGAGTTCTGGGAGTGAGTTCTTCTCTGATTGGGTTTTGGTTACTGTGTCGGGTTGAATGTTGGTTGTTTCTCTTTGGGTTGTGGTGGACTGTTAGCTCAGATCAGACAGGTGATGTTGGGTTGAACTGAATCGATTGAGATAGGTGCAGTTGGTTTGATGAGTTCAGATCATTTTGGGATAGTCACGTTTGTTTAGTTGGTTATGTTGGCTGCGTTGGTTCTCCTTAATAACATCTGATCAAGCCTTGGTCAGAACCTTGGCCAACTTTCTCCTTTCAGATACTTTAATGTGCTATGTGCAAGACTCGTCTATGTTGAAAAGGCTAACTGTCACTCAGAGGATTGACGTTATGGTTCTGGACCCAAATACATCTCTAATTCCCGCTTTCAATCAATCCAAACCTAGTGCTGGTTCTGGGCTAGCTTTAACTCTACCCCTTTTCCACCAAGGCAGTTTGAGGACTGCGGCTCTTCAGTTCTTTGCATTTCAACAGCCAAAGAACTTAGTCTCTGCCAGTAAAACTGGTTTCAGCAAGGCACCAACCCTACAGAACCAGGTACCACTTACAACAGGGGCTGGTGGTGCCTTGAGATCAAACTTGCTTGCTCTGAACCAGTCCTCAAACTGACTTGGTGGAAAAGAGGTATAATACGCTTACCTATACAAACCACCTATAATCCTCAGGACATCAGGGACTAGCCTATTGGTTGTCCCAAGGGTCTTCTTTTATTATGAGACACAGACCTGGATTAACCTCCCAGTTGATACTAGACAGGCCCATACTGGCCACTTTTAGGTTTAATATTTTACACTGTATACTTTACACAGAAATTGAGAAAAAAACTTGTATTTTAGCTTGTAAATAGCTTTCATTTTTATTGTTTAAATGTGTTTCAAATTTAATTAAATTAATGAATTTAATTGTGGGAATATGTTCAGCACACTGAACATGTGGCCTTTGTGTTACAGTTCAGTCATTATTGTTGTTGTTGTTGCAGATTATGTTTTGTTGCCACAGCAGCTTAAAATCTCGTCCTGGTGTAAATCTCTTGATCCCATCTGAAATATGCTGGTGTGTTTTCAGCCCAGCTAACTGTCAACTTGCTGCATTCTTCACTAAACCAAAAGCATCAACAGAGTCCACGTGGCAGCAGTGAATGGAATCTTCTGTCTGACATTGCCTCCACTCTAACTGATTTCTGTGGGAGAGGATATTCCTTAACCGATCACTAGAGACTAACATATCCGCCTGAATTTAACGCAATTTAAAGTTGACACTGATGTCATTCCAACATACTGGTTTTACCCACAGTCTAAAGTTTTGTTGAGGTTTTAAGAGCAGAACAACTTCACAGACTACGATGTCTGTTGGTCTGTTACTCGAGGGGGTTATATCATATTAAAGATTATTGTTCAGCAGCACAAACGTGGAAGGGAGGGCTTTAAGTTTCTGGGATGTCGAAGTAATTCTTACATATAAACCCATTGTCACGGCATAGTATGGTACTTCATCCACAATACCGAACAGCTTCTCTCTGTAGTTCCCTTGGGGGTGCAGAAAAGAAGCGAGCATTGGCCGTAAAATATTGGTGCATGCCAACCTGCATCACCGTCAAAGCAAGCTTTGAGTAATGGATACATTGCCATCACTATTTGCTTCTCCCAAACCATTTCCTCAAGAAGGGCAAGTTGGTAACTGAGAGACTCTTCACAAATCCAGTTGGGAGGTTTCAAAAATACAAGGTTCAGTTATTGATCATTTTACACACCTTAAATAAATGCCTTCAAAGCTGTTTGGATTTCAAAGTAATTGGTACTTTTAAAGCTCCAGTGTGTAACATTAAGGATCTATTGTCAGAAATGTAATATAATATTCATAGGTATGTTTTCATTAGTGTATAATCACCTGAATATATGATTTGTTGTTTTTGTTACCCTTTTTGTAACGTGATGCTGATTGGACTGCTGATTGGTTGCTGATGGTCTGGACCCAGGCATGGTCTCATCATCTGGGTTGTCCCAGTTTCAGACACCACACTAATCCCTGTTAGTCACTTAGTGAGTTTTGTTGTCACAACAAGAGAAGTTTGACGAGAAACCTTCACAGCTGAGTGCAGAAGCTTTAGTTCCTCTAATGGCTACTGGTGCTCCAGAGGTTGTTTTACCTCTTTTACATAATTTTAATCAATTATATTTCTACTGTAGATTTTGGTGTGTGTTTGCTTTAAATGACTGGTGTATCAGCCTGTTACAGTCAGGCAGTTTCTTTGAGCAGGACCTCCCTGCTGCAGTGAGGCCATGGTGTTGTGTCAGATTATTAACACAATGAGCAGTTAACAAGGTGAAAATGTTCATGAGGTGACAGAGCTCATTAGTGTTTGAAGTTAGAGTCAGGTCAGCGGCTCTCCGTCCCGGAGGAGAGGAGGGAGGAGGTCAGGACAGGTGATTATGAAAGAGTTAGTGACTCAGTAGCGCAATATAATCCTTTTTTTTCTCTCTTTTTTTTGTCGCTCTAACCTTTCTTCTCTTATATTTTTGAACCATGGACGTGCACACAGTGACTAAAGTGCTGCTGCTCGGAAAATAATGAATAAATAATAATATAATTAGAATATTACTTATGTTATTGTTGGTTTTGTTGATGCTTTAGATTTTATTCATCTTTCTTCCAATTTCCTGAGGCCCCCTTGGTACCCACCGGCAGCCCCCACTTTGTAAAAACACTCAACTAGTCAGTACAGTTATCATATGCAACAGTCAGAGACTTCCTTTGTTACAAGAGAAAAGGTCCGTGTTGCAATAATCCTCTGATACTTTGGTCCCAGTGACAAGGAGCAGCTCCTGAATGCAGTTTAACTATCAGACTGATGGAAAGTGTCACTAAGACTCTTCTCGGTTTAGGTGACTAGCAGGGGGCAGCCCTAGTAACTTACAAAGAAGTTACTTTTATAGTGTTTACTAGTATATGTGTTCTGTAACTGTTAACCTTAAACAATTGTAATGCCCATTAAGATTTGGGGAACTGTTTAATGTGTGTGTCATATATTATAATTGGAAGCAGAGGGCAACCGCTTTTTAAAGTGAGGTCAAAAAGTCCCAGTTTCAGACTCTAAAAATAGTTTACATTTGAAAAAAGAAAGAAAGAAACAAAATAAATATCACTTTAATAAAATACAAGCAACATGTTAATCAGTGAGGTTTAGAGGAGCTAGTAGACAGAACCAGGCTAGCTGTTTCCCCTTGCTTCAGGTATTTATGCTAAGCTAACATGTCAAATAATTTTTAAACTGTGAATCTGTTTTCTTCAACCTGATGAACTGTATTTCTGCTGTGTGAACCTGATGTTGGGTCGGTGTAAACGTCCTTGTCTCGCTGTGCAGGAACAAGGTGCTGAACATCTCTTCTGGTCTGGAAGAAATGGGAGAGTTTAACTGGGAGCTCATTCTGTGTCTGATGGCTGTCTGGGTCATGGTTTACTTCTGCGTCTGGAAGGGAGTCAAATCCACTGGGAAGGTAACATACATCTTTTGCTGATATGTTTTGAATGCTTGTATTACAGTTACACTTTTATCATCAACCACAACCTAAAAATATGACATCTCCCCAACTTCAACTTCCCAGTCCAAAAGTGAAATGAATCCTGGAAAATTTCATGTCCAAATTCATTAAAAATTCATCAAATTACTATTACTAACTAACTAACTAAACTAACAATAAAAAATTAAAATTGCTTCAGTTCGCCTGCACAATAGAGGAGTCTGTGAAACGGTTAATAAAACCCTTAAACATACTACAGTCTCAGTTTAATACTAATGTCTTTATATGAGCTACATAAACATCAGAGAGAAGATTGGATATTTCTATATAGTTATTACTGCGGTCAGATTCCCATTCAAATGACACAAAGAGGTTGAAACACTACCGCTTTGATCCACAGGGGGCGCCACAATCAACACAAAATTGTAGTTACTTGTAGTGAGTTTAACTAAATGTTCACCTTGTGGGAATCAGATAGGAGGTGAGTGTGTAATAAGGTCTCCATAAGGTATTTAATTCAAGAGCACAAACAGGTGACACTAAAGGTACGTGTCCACAAAACGCTTTTTATATCTTCAAATAACGAATTAAAACCAAACTAATGATAAAAATAAAAACTTGAACAAACATCAGCGTAATAAGAACAACCTGGAATGAATGGTAAGTGTGTAAATGACCTCCATAATAATGCTATACTTATGTATTGATAGATTTATTGATAGATATATTGATATAGACTTACTGTTTTAATTTGGGCAGACCACCTCCTGGCCTGGTGTTAAAGGTTATAGTGACCATCGGGTCCCCAGATGGCATTTCAGTCCCCGCAACAACAGTGTGTGAACATGTCTCTGTCCCCAAATGATTTTAATACAAGAGGGGACATCCTGCTACTAACAGCTGGGTTCATTACAGTCAACTATATAACACTGCTGAAGGTCAGAGGTCACCGCACACAGCTGATTGATTAGCTTCCATACAGCTACATCACATCAATAAAAAGGACAACATAAGTCAAACAATAGCAAGGTCGTTAGTTTGTCCTGGCTTCTTGTTCTTCTCTCTTTATATTTTAATGTTTTCTGCTGCAGCTGATGTCTACTCAAATAAAACCAGGAGAAGAAAAAGTGTCGTCATTTGGAAGGTTTCCATAAATGTGGGACTGTTTCTTTAAAACTACAATCTTCAAATGAGACTGTAGCTGTGATTCACTGTGTGTGTGTGTGTGTCATTGGCTCGTGATGACGACACTCATACACACTGCTGTCACATGGCAGGCCGAGTGTTGCCATGACTACGGGGGGGGGTTAAGGAGGGACAGTGGGGGCCGTGAGGTGGCGGATTGTGATTGGTCGTCCTGCAGGAGGGCAGCTTGACTGCAGTGGGACGTGACTGAGAGAGAGAAATACTCGTGCACTTGTACTGTATGTGTACTCTGTAGTTAAACTGCATTAAAGCCTCATCTGCAAATACACAGATTGATTAATATCGATTAATTATCAGTAAACACAACATTCAGCCGTTGAACGTCAGCAGCAGCTCATATCAGCTCTCAGTAATTAATGTAATTATAATGTAAATGTGTTGACACGTTGTCTGACAAAGATTGTTTGTGCGGGAAGACGCTCCACTCTGTAACACCACTGTACATTTAATCTGTAGCTCCGACAACTCCAACAGAGTGAGACATCCTCTCTCTAACTGATCTCATAGAAACGCATTAATCTCATTGTTCTTACTGTAGAAAATAATATAATTACTGTAATATTATTGATAATAATGCCTTACTGCCCAACACTGGATGCAGATTTAATCAACATTAAGTATTTGAAAAATGGAAAGATTGATCATCTTCGTACCACAAACCCAACATCCAACCTGTAGGCTGTGTGTGTATGGGTGTGTGTGATGCTGTGTGTGTGTGAGAGAGTGTGTGTGTGTGTGTGTGTGTGTGTGTGTGAGTGTCGTGTGTGTGTGTTTTGGGTCTCAGTAGCGATCCAGCAGAGTTTCACACGGCTCTCAGTACCCAACAGAAAGCAAGTTTTTTTATTGTTCATCGTCAGCAGGAAGGGCCTGAAGGGCTGAGGGCGAGAGGGCTGAGAGCACACTGTGAGAGAGAGAGAGAGAGAGAGAGAGTCCATTCATGGAGCTGCTCACTTTATTCTCACACTCTAGAGTCATTAATTAGACTATAAACCAGGGATTTCCCAAAGTTGGCCCGACAGATGGTTCTGTAAAAAGAAAATACAGTTAAAAAAATAATAAAAAGAAAAATCTAACTTAAGTTTATACTCTTTTATATGTCGGATCCTAATTGTTAATTAAGTAATAATTTATAATGTGAGCCAGCTGAGTAAA